AAAAATAAATAAATAAATAAATAAATAAAATACGTTGCGTATGATTCCAGTTTCTTTTAATGTATTGAGATTTACTTTATGACTTAGCATGAGGTCTAATTTTTGTAAATGTCCCATGTGTAGAATGTAGATATGAGTGTGTATTCCCTTATCTCTGATTCGGTAAATGTCCATTAAATTTAGAAAGTTGATTGTTTTGTTCAATTTTTTCATATATACATATATATATATATGTATATGTATATGTATACATATATATATATATATATGTATATATATATTGGATTGTAGGAAGTCATGACGTATTTTTCTATGTTTTTTGTTTCAAAAACGTGTCATGACTTTTCCAATGACCCTACATATATACCATGATGGCGAATTTATTTCTCTTTGTGAATCTACTACATTTTGAGGCTATTTTATCAAATGCATACAATTTAAAATTGTATATTTCTAATGAATTTAACCTTTGTATTTAGCAACCCTTTCTATCACTAATAATTGCTTTTGTATTAAATGTTAATAGAGCTACCAGATTTTTAATTTTGTTTTGTTTGCATTTGCCTAGTGTACATGTTTCCATCTTGTTTTTCCAACTTTCCATGTCTCTAAGTTTTAATTGTGTTATTTATAAATAACAAATACTCAGCTTGGTTTTGGGACTGTTGTTAACCTATCTGCTTATCTCTGTTTTTTAACTGCAAAGTTTAGTCCACCTACTTCATATATTTAAAGTTATTCTCTACCTTCCTACTTTATGCTTTCTGCTTGCTTCACTTTTGCTATGCTTTTTATTTAACATTTTTACCATCATGGAATTGAGAGGTTTTTTTTCTGTCCTGTGTTTCCTAACACTTTTTCCCCCTCTAAAAGGCTGGAAGTTATACATTTTATTTTCTTTTAATGGTTGCATAGTGGAAATAATATTAATAATAATAGTAGTAAAATATATGTATAAATATATAAATATATGGTAAACATATGCCACGTGGCAGGCTGTGTTCCATGTGTTTTCTATATGTTAACTTATGTAATCCCCACAGCAACCCTTTGAGATAGGAAGTAAAACAAAGTCTGCGGTTAATATCTTAACTCCCTCTAAACAATAATCAGGACCTAAAACACATTAACACCAACCATTCTCCTCCCAAATTATAGACTATCTTTCCTGTATTTCAATTATCAGTTTTCGTTCTATGGTCACTTTTTTCTTCCTGAATCACCTCTTTTAGGCATTCTCTTAGGGAAAGACAGCCACACTCTCTGCTCTGTGTGTGTGTGTGTGTGTGTGTGTGTGTGCGCGCGCGCGCGCGCACGCAATGATCCCATTTCATTCTCATTAAAAAATACATATTTTTTTACTATAAAAATGTGCAAAGATGGTGAAGTTGAAAGAACTTTATGGTGAACATATGTATACTCACCATCTGGAGTCTACTATTAAAATTTTATTATAATTGTTTTATCAAGATATATTGATCTATTATTGCCTTTATCCATCTAGCAATCCCTCTTACTTTTTGATGCATTTCAAAGATAAATTGCACACATCCGTCCTCTGCCCCACATCCTACAGCACACCTGTCATGTATGCCATCGGTTCAAGGGTTAACAAAGAACATTTAGAAGCACCTCGTAGAGTTCAAGCCCTCTTCTCTGTGATAATCCTCACCAGAGCCCCACAACGGACAATTTCCAAAGAGAAGATCCCCCAACTCAGCACGCTGCCCTCAGTCAACAGCTGGTATCTGCAGAGGAGACACGTGAGTCCCTACCTTGTCATTGTCTCTTGCTTGAATTTCCACTGAGAGCACTTCATGCTTATTAAAAGCATGCTTTGTCGCAGAAAATGTCCTCGGGTTGACATCCTGGTTCCAGCTTCTTGTTATTTGCACCTTTGATTTTTATTAGCTTTGTCTCCTGACCAGGAAGTTGAGCCGGATGCTGAGGAAGTGAGCATCCTGATGGGACCCAGGAGAGATAAAGAAGCACTAAGTGTGGCCCAGTGCCTAGGGAAGAAAAGCCAGTTGGGGGCCCAGGAAGCCCCCTAAACCAGGAGGGGTAAACACTACCCCTTACTGAGCACTTACATGGCAGGTGCCATTCTTAGCACTCTGCTTGTGTTTCCTCATTGAATCCTCACAACTCTTGAGAGTAGATTTCAGTACTGCCCTTGTATTACAGATGAAGAAACTGCACCCTAAATGAGCAACTCACTCAAGATCTCTTGGTTTACAAGTGGCAGAGGCAGAATTTAAACTCTGGTCCCATGATTCCAAAGCCAAGGTCTCAGTGGCTACACTAACCTGCTGGGTCGGGGGTCTCAGAACGTGCAGGACAAACACATGTAAACCTTCTGTATCACAGTTTAGCTGCAGCCAGGGCTGGGGCAGGTGGCAGTCATGCTTGTCACCATGCAGTTCCCTGGAGTCTCCAAGCAGTCCTTTTACTATAAAATCTCTCTTGCTCCCACTGACTTGGACTTAAACCCATGTTAGTCTAAGATTGAACTGGGCAGGGTTGGGTTGGGGGAGTGTGGAAGGGGCGCCCAGTTTTAGTTCACACCAGGTAAAATAGTTTTTAGGACTCCATTCCAATAGCTAAAAGTGAACCAAACCCTTGAAGAATGCCAGCGCTGCACAGCACATGATGTGAGTTTGATCGCTCTTTCTAAGAGACTTGTTCAACAAACAGGAGCATCTGACTGCTCCAAAAATTTAGAGTTGGGAAATTATAAACTATTTTATCTGATAAAGGGACAAGCAGTTTTCTGAATGCTGGAACAAACAGTACATAGGGGAAAGAAGGCGGGACGCCAAGAGCGATTAGGAGAAAGATTTGTAATGCTCTATTTAAGCCAAAGCAGACATCCCCTGATATGCTGGCTCTGGGGCTTTGGAAGCTGGGGATGGAAGGGATGGCAGAAGCCACAAGCCGCTGTTTTAAGGAACTCATCGGGGACTGGAGAAGCACTGGAAATTCTAGAGGAGCTTTAAGAAAGAGAAAAAGATGAGCCTGGAAATTTCATTTGAGAGCCTCCCGTGTTGTTTAGGGGCTGGAAACCCTCAGAGGATACGGGTTGCCCTTCCCTCCCAGCCTCGCCTCTCGTCTCTATGGTCCGTGTCTCTGACACTTGCTGTCAGGGAACTTAGGTAGAGTCCCACGATAAAAAAAAAGACTATTTCCAGGCCAGCCGAGTGGCGCACTGGTTAAGAGCTGGCTTGGGACGTCAGAGGGCCCCGGTTCGGATCCCACATATGAGGGCCAGTGACACTGCCCTCTACAGCTAAGATGCTGAACAACAGCTCAACCTGGAGCTGGGCTGCCGTGAGGCAACAGCAACGGCGTAGGCTGCAGCCCCTGTGGCAGTGGGTTGCCATGGGCTACCGTGTGTAGCCAGCAGCCAGCGTGAGTGGCCAGCAGCCACAGTGAGCGGTGTCCAAAAGCCAGCGACTGATCTGCCTTGTCTGGGAAGAGCGCAATGATGGTGCCAACTTGGGCCAGTGAAGCAATGTCCTCCACAACTAGACTGAAGAACAAAAGGACAGCAACTCGTCTGTTCCCCTTCCCCCCAATTCCCCAGCGCTATTCCCATCCCCCAATTCCCCAATAAAAATCTTTAAAAAAAAAAAAAGACTATTTCTGCTCCTTATCTCACTTTATTTCATGCTCAATTTATTGTGAAACGAAAAGCCACAGGAAATAGGGGCTTAAAATGGTACACTTGGTTCTCTGCGCACTTCCTGTTCTGTCTTCCGTGGCAAGAGGAAAGTGCAGTGTGTCTGGAATGAGAACACTGAACTCCTGTGAAGACATTCATCTTTGTGACTGCAAAAGTCAGGAAGGATAAGGAGACGTAAGTTAATACCCCCTGGATCTTTAGTGAAAGTGATTTACACATTGAGAAAATAACAGTACCATTTCAATATTGAAGCTATAGGCATAAACACATACATTTTCTATAATGAGTTTTACTAAACATGGCTCTTTAGCAAGATTTAGTGCAAAAGTGATTACAAAGGAAATTTCATACCTAAGATTTTAAAATTCATTACTTCCCCATGCCTCAGTTTCCCGGCTTGAAAACAACAGGCTTGTTGAGTGTGTAAATTAGCTATTATGTAAGGTACTTAGAAAAGGACCTGGCATCTAGTAAATACTAAAGAATGGCTATTGTTAATTAACATCTTTGGAGGCAAGTGGAGAATTTTCAATGGCAGGATAGCCCAGGAATTGAACATAAATTGGTTTTCAGTCCGACTCATTTTGTACTTTGGTTTTCTCTTCTACAACATAGTTGTCCATCTGTCAACAGAAAGCTACTGTGTCAAAAAAATCTCAGATCTGTTTATGAAAGGACAATGAAAATAAAGTATGCTATAGGTCTGCTTTTGGGATCCAAGACAAATTCAGGAAGAAAAAAAAACATCTCACAATCCTTTCTCTACTAGAATGAAAAGTCTATTTTTTTTAAGGAATTGTGGGTGAAGAGCAGGTGGAGATATTAATCTCCCCTGAGGCTTTCAAAAACAGTTCATTCAGAAACCTGAGATAAGAAATTCTGACACAGTCAAGTTGGGACTGGAAGATCACCTTACACGCATCTAATGCCAGAATGGAGCCTGCTTTCCTTGTTTCGATCTTCATAATTAAGACGTGTCAAATGAGAGGAGTAGGGGCCCACTCATGTCTCAGCCATTCATAAATATTTTAAGCTGACACCAAACAAAATCCCACTTGTGTTACCTTTTCTGCCTGACTGTGGGTCAGACCACCAACCTTGGAGGGAGCTCCTGGCTAAGCTCAGAGATAATCCAACAGCTTAATTATTGGATTTGGGGTTCCATCAGAAATGTGTGCTTTGTTAACCATGCACAATGTCGTAGAGCTGGGATTAGCACGTGCAAATGAATAAATGAATAAAAGTAGCAGTGTCGACTGTGAACAAAGCTGCCTGAAGCCCTTCAGACCATCAACAAAGATTCAACATCAGTCACAAGGCAGCAGGTACTATGAGATCAGTCTGCTTCCTTGTCCAGTATTCTTTCTTCACACAACAAAAAAAGCTCCAGTTGTTTATCCGTTTGTGAAGGCGTCTATAAAGTGCTTCCTTTGGGTTAGGTCCTGTAACTGGGGCAAAGAGACAAAGCTGAACGTGACAATCTCTACCCTCAAGGGGCTCAGCGTGGTGGGGCAAACACACTTGTCAACAGATAATTTAAATAACAGAAAAGAGGAAAACCGGTTAAATATGATAAAGTAAAAATAACACATTAACTGCATCGGAAATAGAACAGAGGTGTGTGTGAGTGCTGTGGTAGCACAGAGAAAGCAGCAATTACTGGAGGAGTCTGTGTTCTCCAGAAACGGAACCAATAGGATGTCTTTGTACAGACCCGTTTGAAGGAATTGGCTCACGTGATTGTGGGCTCGGCCAGCCTGAAATCTGCAGGGCAGGTAAGCAGGCCGGAAGCTCAGGTAAGAGTTGATGTTGCAGTCTTGAGGCAGAATTGCTTCTTCCGGGACCTCAGTTTTTTTCTCTTAAGGCCTTCAGCTTGTTAGGTGAGGCCCACCCCCATTATGGAAGGTAATCGGCTTTTCTCAAAGCCTACTGTTTGTAAAATATTCATCATATCTAAGAGATACCTTCATGGCAATGTCTAGACTGGTGTTCATCCAACATCCGGGCATCACAGCCCTGCGACGTTAACATGTACAATTACTCTTCACAGTCAGGGAAGGCTTCTCAGAGGAGGCAGCTGTTTATCTTGGTGTGGTTGGCTTCTTTGAGAGGGGATCCCAGAAAGCACAGACAAGGGGAAGAAGAGTTATTCAGGGAAGGGAGAAAAGCCAACAAGGAGTGTGTTCATGAGCAGGTTGTCCCTGGGAACCACTGGGACACAGTCCCCCTGGGGTTCCACTGCAGCCTTTGGGGCTTTGAATTACAGCAAACCAGCGAGAGAACTTCTACAGCCAAACATGCAGTCTCATCTTAAGCCTGATCTGGGAGACAGGACTTGCTGGTATTCGTGTTAAAGAACCTGCCACTGGGCTTTATAAGTGGGGGTGACTAGCCTCTGTGTTCCTGCCTAAGCATGTAACTCCAGCCTGGTAATATCCCCTGATGGTGGCTCCTCGGCTGTGCTAATCTGGCTGAAATGCTGCATGTGTGGGCTGAGCAAGTTCCCGGGAGGGGAGGCGGGGGCAGAGTGAGGCTCCCAGGCACGAAAGCACAAAGACTCAGGTGGGAGGTGGGAAGACCTGGCACTCACAGGGCACACCCGCCATCCACCCAAAAGTGGGCCAAAGAGTCCGGACAAGGCGTTGGCATCATCTGCCAGTCACGCCCCCTCTGCCTTTTACTATGTGACTTTGGCAAACTCAGGAACCTCTTTGAGCCTCATTTTTCTTATCTCTAAATGGATGGATTTGAAAATTAACCAGATAACCACTTCAAGGCTTAGAACAAGGCTGGACTTCTGGCTGGCCTTCCTCCTCACCCACCCTGGGCCGAGTCCAGCAGTCTGGGTTTGCTCCACAGCCAAGGCGGGGACGATCTGCTTTCTTTTAGTGTCAGCAAGCCTTGAAGCATTCCGGACAAGGAAGGAGGTCCGCACTGAGGGGTCACAGTGACACAGCGGTCGGTCACCTCTCGCTCATGACTCACTTTCTCAAAAAAAAAAGCAGAAGATACTGCCAGTGAGGAGGGGATTTCTTAAACTCTCTGGAGTCTAGTCCATTTTTTATGTAAATGTCTCCTCAACCATTTCCCACATAATCAACCCCCACAGCCTTATCTCTGAATGACTCGGGCCATGGGTCCAAAAGCTGGCAGCCATTGTGATAGTCACCTTCTCATAACCTTCGTGCCAATCCTGGTCCTTGGGACAGCACTTGTGAGTGGGAAGCGACCCCTCCCATCCATACTGACCACTGAGTTTTTCTCGGCGGGCGATGTCCAGCCCTTCTGACCACAGCGTGCAGACACCACGTAGGCAGCTGTACTCCCCTCCCGTGGCTCGCACTGTTGCCCAGTCCTTGACCCTTTGTAGCCCATGTCCTTGGCCAGCTGCCCTGCTTTTGAGCCATTAACATGCTTTTTCTGGAAACTGCCCTCCCTCTTTGATCCAGATGGTGACAGGGTCTCCTAAGAGTTTGAATAACAATTTTAGCTAAAATTTATTAAGTACTTCCTATGTGCCAGGCACAGTAATCAGCGGCTCATTTAATCCTCACAGAAACCCTATGAGGTAGGTGCTATTCTTTGCCCCATCTCGCAGCTGCGGAAACTGAGGCAGGAGGGGTTTAATAATGTGGCTAATATACAATCAGGACGCAGTGAGTCTGGAGGAAGTCCAACTCCTGAATCAGTACCCTTCTCGGCCACGTCATCTTCCCTACTCTAGACAGGACGGCCTCATCCTGGCCTAGCTTTAATAAACCAGCAGGGTCCTGACCCAGCAGAGAAAGGAAGAGTCCTTTATCTACATATTTAGAACTGAGACTAAAGTGTGTGTCAGAGAGGGGGAGACACTACATGGCAGAGCAATGTGAATGGGGATGACCATCTTCCCGCCCTCCTGCAGCCCAGGAAGCCGCCGGCCAGGACAGCCGTGCAGACAAACACACCAAAGGGGAAAAGCCCTCCTGGGAATGCCTATATGCCGCTGCCAGCCCTCGCCGGGCCCAGCTGCTCTGACGGTCTGGAGCCCCTGGGACATCCCATAACCTGGGCCACGTTAATGCCTTGAGAGACTCCAAACCAGAGGAGATCAAGTCCTTCCTACCCTTGCATAAGCCATTAAAAAAAAAAAAATAGTGTCTAACTACAAGCATAGGGAAGTCCTACAAAGTTATGATTTGCACCTGCAAACTACTTTCCTTTTTTTAAATCGCATATTGTATTCTTTTTCAAAACAAAAAAATTCTGTTTCTGCTTTGCTGGTGCTCTAAGCACCTTCTTGGCCCGCCCTTCAGGCAGTCCAGCACTGCTTGCCTAGGTAGTTATGCTAAATTCCCCTCTTCACTTGAGGAGGCCCGTGTTGGTTTCTGCTCCTTCTTCTGAAATTTGTGTGAGTTGCTCGGCCACATCCAAGGCTGCCACAGTTTTGAAGCTTAGGTTTCCCGTGCTGAGCTCCTTACAAACATGGCCACTATTTGCAATGAATTATAAAGAGATTTTAGGCCATGTTTCGACCCATCGCTGTGAATCTTGTCTTTTTCAGTTGAATGCAGGTCTTTTGAAAATGTGTTTTTCTAAAGATGCACAAAATCTGACTCTTAAGTTTGCGAACTTGCCACCGTGTGCTTACATTGGCAGCGCTGTACAAACAGCTCAGTAAGGTCTCATAACCTTGGTGTATCAGTGTCTCACGGCTGTGTTCGTGTCAACGTGTGACAGTGTTGCTGAGTGGTGTTCATTATTGTTGCATGTTTTTGTGTGCCATTGTGAGAATGTCTGAGCTTGAATTAGAGCAATGAACAGACATTAAATTTCTTGTTAAACTTGGCAAGAGTGGAAGTGATATCAGGGACATGTTAGTCCAAGTTTATGGGGATAATGCCATGAAGAAAACGACAGCGTACAAATGGATTAAACGTTTTTCTGAGGGGAGAGAACGCGTCATTGATGAAGAAAGGTCAGGACGGCCAGTAACAAACAGAACTGATGAAAACATTGCAAAATTTCATTAAATTGTGCGTCAAAATCGTTGGCTGACTGTGAGAAGCGCAGCAGACCAAGTAAACATTGATAGAGAAATAATTAGGAAAATCTTAACTGAAAGTCTTGACATGAAAAAAGTGTGTGCAAAAATGGTCCCAAAGGAGCTGTTGCATCAGGACAATGCACCAGCTCACAGGACACTGTCTGTGAGGGAGTTTTTAGCCAGTAAACAAATACCTGTACTGGAACACCCTCCCTCCTCACCTGATCTGGCTCCCAATGACTTCTTTCTTTACCCAAAGATAAAGGAAATATTGAAAGGAAGATATTTTGATGACATTCAGGACATCAAGGGTAGTATGATGACAGCTCTGATGGCCATTCCAGAAAAAGAGTTCCAAAATTGCTTTGAAGGGTGGAGAAGGCACTGGCATTGGTGCATAGCTTCCCAAGGGGAGTACTTCGAAGGTGACCATAGTGATATTCAGTAATGAGGTATGAGTACTTTTTCTAGGATGAGTTCGCGAACTTAATTGTCAGGACTTGAAGTCAATGAGAGTTTTTAATTTTATTTTTCCAGAGACTGAGGGAGAAAATGTAAACAGGAAAACACTGTGAACAAGAAACACTAATGTACTGACAATTAGGCAAGGCCTGTAGAATACCACACACTACTGGAGGAAGTTTGATCGATGGGTCTCACTGCCTATGAGATCAGACAATTAAATTCACGAACTCATCCTAGAAAAAGTGCTACATGCCTCATTGCTGAATATCACTATGGTCACTTTCAAAGTACTCCCCTTAGGAAGCTATGCACTGATGTCAGTGCTTAGTCCACCCTTCAAAGCAATATTGGAACTCTTTTTCTGGAATGGCCATCAGAGCTGTCATTATATTACTCTTGATGTCCTAAATGTCATCAAAATGTCTTCCTTTCAATATTTCCTTTGTCTTTGGGTAAGAAAGAAGTCACTGGGGGCCAGATCGGGTGAATAGGGAGGGTGTTCCAATACAGTTATTTGCTTACTGGCTGAAAACTCCCTCACAGACAGTGCTGTGTGAGCTGGTGCATTGTCGTGATGCAAGATACATGAATTGTTGGTGAAAAGTTCAGGTCGTTTTCATTTAATTTTTCATGCAGCCTTTTCAGCACTCCCAAATAGTAAACTTGGCTAACTATTTGTCCAGTTGGTACAAATTCATAATGAATAATTCCTCTGATATCAAAAAAGGTTAGCAACATTGTTGCAACAAGTTCACAAGCTTAATAGTCAGACCGTCACATATGTATATGTAATTTATCACTGATACATCGGAAATAGAGTAGTAGATATGTTATGTCCATAATGGCCTCATGAGCAAGTTCGCTGGTGCTACGAAAGGTGCCAACGTGTGTGACAATATCTGCTCCTGCAAATGCAGACAGAACATGGTCACTCGGCACGCACATAGCGTCTGAACAGTAGTCCCATTCCGAAGGAATGAACTAAACCAACATCTCTGTGTTCATTTCCCATGGCTGCCTTGACAAAGTACTGGGTGGCTAAAACAACAGAAATTTCTTCTCTCACAGTCTAAAAGCCAGAAATCCAAACTGCACGTGTCAGCAGGGCCATGCTCTCCTGAGGCTCTAGAAAAGGATCTGTTCCATGCCTTCCTCTGAGCTTTTGTGTTCCCAGAAATCCTTGGTGTCCTTGGCTTACAGACACATCACTCCAACTTCTGACGTCGCACGGCATTCTCCCCTGCGTCTTCACCTGTGTGTCTTCCCTCTGTGCTTGTCTGTCTCTGTGTCTCTTCTCTTCTTATAAGGACATCAGTCACATTGGCTGAAAGCTCACTCTAAAGACCTCATCTTAACTTAATTTCATCTGCAAAGACTCTATTTCCAAATCAGGTCACTTCATGGGTACAAGGGATTAGGGCTCCAGTGCATCTTTTGGGAGGACACAATTCAACTCATAACAATGTCCCAACAGCCCTTATCTTCTCCTTGGCCCCCAACTCTTAGTGGGAGCCCAGGCCCTCCTGTCCTGGTCCCACTAGCCTCCCTCCCGGGTGTGGCTCTCCCAGCTCCCCGCACACTCTGGGCTTAGCCAGTTAGTGCCCATGGTCTCAGGCTCTTTCCTTGAGTGTCCCTCCACCCCAGGCTCTACCTACCAGCCTTCAAGGCCACACTCAGATGCCACCTTTCCCAGGAAGGATTCTGGAAATCTCAGGGCTTTCCGCATCAGCTGCAGGACAAGACCCATGGGCCATGGGGACCCAGGACACCACTAAGGCTAATCTTGCTCTGTCACTTTTCTGTGAGTAAAGCATTGTCCATCCAGTGCCTGTGTGAGTCATGTCTTTCTTGGTGACCCTGACCTATGGAGGGAGTTGACACGGGATGCTGCTCCTGGTGGAGGGGACTCACGTGCTTGACAGTCTCGTCTCTTATCTTGCCACTGGAACTTGAAGTACATTAAGGGTACAAAAATGCTTTGTAGGGCCAGCCGAGTGGCTCAGTTGGTTAAGAGCTCGCTTGGGAGCAACATCTCTGAGCAGCAAGGCTGCGGTTCAGATCCCACATTGAGGGCAAGTGATGCTCACCCTCTACAGCTAAGATGATGAACAACAGCTCAACCTGGAGCTGGGCTGCCATGAGTCGCCGGTAACGGCGTAGGCTGCAGTGGGGCTGCAGTGGGCTGTCGTGAGCTACGTGAGTGGCTGGCACCCAGCATGAGCAGCTGGTAGCCGGTGTGAGCTACCAGGAGCCGCTCTGAGCGGCCGACCAATGACCAGTGACCGATTGCCTCACCTGGGAAGAGCACAATGATCATACCAACATGGGCCAGTGAAGCAACATCCTTCACAACTAGACTGAAGAACAAAACAGCAATTTGTCTACCTGTCTGTTCCCCTTCCCCGATTCCCCAGCGCTGTTCCCCTCCCCCCAATTCCCCAATAAAATCTTTAAAAAAAATGCTTTGTAAACTCACAAAAGGTGCACAGAAATATACGTAGGTTGTGAAGTATTTACTGAATAAATGAACAAATGAATTCTTCTCTCTGTGTGATATATCAAATACTTTGATTTGATGCTGTCACTGAATTGACCAAAATATTTGGGCATCTTAGTTAGAGTCAATGGTTCTAAACTTCAGTTTACAAAAGGATTCATTCCTTCAGGATGTTCATTAAACTTCAGGCTTATGGCCCCCACTTCAGAGTTTCTTGCACAGTACGAAGGGGGGACCCCAGGAAATTGCCTTTCAACAAGTCCCTCCCCTGGGCGACTGATGTGGGGTCTCCCAAACAATCTGTGAGGCACAATGTCGGCACAGCCTCAGGTGAGGGTGAACGTGTTTTGAATTTGTGATTTTATGCACACACATCTATACACACCACATCCATACAAACATTTACACATACACACCACACATCCACACAGCACACACATACATGCACATACACATATGCGCGCACACACGCACGCATGCACACACACACCTCTTCAATTGTTTTGTTTTTTCCCAATTGGTTTTGATCAAGTTGTGGCAAATGTTGCGGTAATTGGTTATTTCTGTCCCTGTGTCCACACAGCTATGCTGGATGCTTGGGTCCCAGCTCAGGATTTTGACGTGCACATCACCATCACTATTCTAATTCTGGAGGTTTGGCCTGAAGACCACAGGGAACTCAGTGGCTTGGATTAGTAGCAATGAGATTGAACCAGGACACAGGGGAAGTGGAGCTGTTCAGGGTGATCGCTTGAAGATCGGGCCCCAGAGGGAAAGCCTGCCTCCCACACATGTGGAGTCCAGCAGCAGGTGGGGACGCCAGCTGGATGTGCGTTTGCCTGACACCCAACGGGGGATCGAGACTAGAGGACGTTGCAGCGGCAGCGGTTAGCATGTGCTGGGTGGCACCAACACACTGCAGGACCCACGGGGCCACAACTGCAGGAGGCACAATTCCTAGGCCCCTGGGGCAAGACATTTACTGTCCATTGAAGCCCCAGGTGCTCCCCTCATCCCCTAGTCTCCTCACACCACCAGGCCACGGGGCTGGCGCTGCGTGGCATGTGTCACTGCGGGCTAAAAGCAATATTCAAGAGCTCTCTCCCTTCCCTGCAGTGAGTCTGAACAGGAGCGATTCTTGGGGGGATGGACAGGGTGGGAGGAGTGGTCCCAGGCATGGAAACATTGCAGGCACAAATGTACAGCACATCTGTGGGGTTACCGATCCACGAGGGGAGGGATTAGAAAAAAATACCTAAAGTATTTCCTTGGGTGACAAGCGGGAGCAATCATGAAAATCAGGTTAGAAATACTGATTTATTAATCGAGTTGATTGTCACGCCATTGCTATGAAGTCAATAGCACTCGAACCTTCATTTGATAAATGAGAAAACATTGGCACAAAGGAGTTAAGAAACTCACCCCAGGCCCTGTGTCTAGTGAGTGAAACACCCCTATTTAAACCAGCTCATCCAGGCCCTCAGAGTCTGGGCCTCTGCCTCTCGGTGGGTGTGGGTGGCCAGCTGTGTAGGGGACCGCAATGACAGTGGTCAAGTTCAAGTGCTACTCCAGGATCTAAGGTTCTGAAATGTTCCCTGAGCTCACACTCCTGTTTTGCCTTTTCAATTTTATTCTCTCTCTACTCTCACACTTAGAAAATGTAGCATCTCTAAAGTGGAGAAAAAGTTAAAGGTAAGAAGAGATTGAGCGGGATTGTAAACAGGACAATGGTCCCTGTCATTTCCCACTTGTGTAATGTCCTCAGTCACAAGGAGATATGAAAACACAGGGCAATTATTTACACATACAGACAAAAACTGAAATCATTTACCCACATGAAGAATGTCCTTCGGTTTCTGCTCTGCATATCCAGGGCCTCTATCTGAGCTTTAGTGAACTTTTCCGTTTTTCAACTGCTGTCTTCATTTTTGTTCCTAGTAGGGAGGGAGAAGATATTACAATTTGAATTGCTTCTAAACTCTGTTTCTCTTTTTCCCTTCTGGGGAGATTTCCTGCATAAATGATCTCTCTCAAAGTTAATTTCCAGGGGCTCGTTTTACTTTAAAAAAAAAAAAAAGTCTACAGATTTTTCTCCGCAGACTTAATGGCTGAAACACACCCAGTTCCCTCTCGCATAGTTTCCTCTGTACGTTTCTCCATGTGGCTTTTATTCCAAATGGAGCCAGTGTTGCCACAGGCCAGACAGGGCCTTCTCTAAGCCATCCGAACGGCCAGGGGTGTTTGCAGGTTGCAAACACAGAGAGCAATCACATTCCCCACCCAAACTCTTGCCAGAGCACCCTCTTTTTTTAGAAGAATGGTGTTTCTACAGGTTCTCCCTCATGCTAAAGACTCTGCTGCCGATCTGGAAACCTCTGCACACACCATGCATTATCATCAGATAAAGTCCTAACCCGTGGATCACGGCCACCGCATACCAGCCTCTGTCCTCTGACTTGTCCCACCTCAGGTTCTTGCCCAGAGAAGAAATGGGCACGCCTGTGTGGGCAAGAAAGTGAGCTGGGAATGTGGAACGTATTAAGTTTAAGATGGGAGACTGGAAGGAAGGAGCACTTTATTTGCTTAAGGCTGCTTAGTTGCACGTGATATTAATAAATGAAATGGGGCCGGCCAAGTGGCGCGATGGTTAAGAACTGGCTTGGGATGCCAGAGGACCCCGGTTCGGATCCCACATATGAGGGCCAGTGACACTGCCCTCCACAGCTAAGATGCTGAACAACAGCTCAACCTGGAGCTGGG